GAATAAAACAACTACTCAATCTACCTGGTTTTAGGGAATAGCTATAGTGTGGTTTCATGCAAACTGAAGTGCTGATAACACTGTTTATACAGGATCAGTATCTTCCACAGAAAAATTTTGCTAAGCAACTGAGAAGTTTGGATGTCATTGCCATGTGGGTGAGCATTTCAATGGGATTTTGGTGAAAAATTTGGCTTGCAGTTGTGCACCTCAATGTGGGCATAGTTTGTCTGATGACCATTGCTCTCACGTATACACTGGGTTACAGAACATCAGAATTTGCTGTGTCATTAACCCTGATGCTGTAGCATCACATTCTGCCTTTCCATATACTAACTGGAAAGGAAAATATGTTTCCATGCTAAATTTTCCAGTGAGGAAGAGCAGTGTAACACTTATGAAGCCACTGAAATGATACCAACTCATGCCAATTAAGGCTCTGATGCAGTGTTTCTGTATTTTGTTTTCTACTCTTCCTTCCTGCACTATGTAGTTTCTGAAGTATAAGCTTTCAAAAGATCTAACCCTAAACACAAAGCTATTCCCAAGATCCCTGTAAACAATTTCCATGGTTCCTCTTGCAGTTCTTTTCAGTCTGTTTTAGAAAGAGGGGGAATAATTTGAAGTAACTGGAAAACACCTCTGTTTCAGTGCATGGTAAATGGCCTTATATATATACAGGGGAGGGAAAAGGGAAGAAACAGCAGGAGCATGACCAGGTCCCATTGGAGATGTGTGGTGGTGGTCTGATAGCCAATGACAGACCTTGAGCAGTGACACCTCCCCAGTCAGCCTGGGGAGGGAGGAGGGACAATGAAGGAGGGGGGGGGGAGAAGGGGGGGGGGAGCTGTCAAGAATTTTATAAAAGTTAGTGATTAGAAGGACTGGGTCTCTTTGCCTGCAAACACCTCACCAGAAGCTTGTAGCAGCAGAGGCACTGCCCACAAATAAGTAAGTATAATAATTTAGTTTCTGAACTGTAAAGGTGGTATGTATATCAGCAGCTGAGACCTGGCATGTTTATCTACACTGGGCTTGGAATGTTGTTTTGGTGTTGTTTTCATTTTTTTGTTACAAGAACAGCTTGTAAGAAATAAGCACTCAGCCATTCTGCAGTGGTCCTCCAAAGTAACCCATTTGCTGCTTACACTGGCTTTCTAACTTAGCTTAGTCACTCAGAACTGGAATAAGGGAACTCTTAGTCTAAAGGTACTAGAGCAATAACATACCTGCATTGCTTTCTGTTGCTTTGTTTTGTGTTTGGTTTTGCTTGTGGTGTACCCAAATTTATGTTTTGCAAGGAGAATACAGAATGACTACAGAAGGCAGCTGGCCCTGACAGGGACCAGTGCTGACAGAAATGTAATTATGTTGTGTTTGCTGTGCAGCTTCTTCTGAAGCATTAGTGCAGTAGTGTGGATAAGATCCTTTGACAGGGGGTGTAGGATGGTCTGCAGTGAAGGAAAATAAAACCTGCCCTCGCATTAGGCTGTAACCTCTCCAGCTGTGAACAGAGAGCTTCAGAAAATTGCTCAACAAACTCAAATCCTCACTGAGTCTGTGATCCTCCATCACATTTTCAACATGTGCTGAGAACCCAAAACTATTTTTAGCCCACCTGAGATCTCACCACTGCTTCCCCCAGTCTGCCCTGCTGGCAATACAAGACTGGAATTCTCATGCAAGTCTGACAGCATTTTATTACCTTCTCTGAGAGGAGCCCAGCCCTGAAATGGGGGCACATTTGCTCAGAGCTTGACTATAGCTCTGAGGCTAATGTGGGAATCAGGACAGGAGATAGGATGTTGAACAAAGGTCCCTAGACAGAACTTGAAAGATGATAAGAAAAATTCACCGAAAGAGCAAAAAACAACCAGGCAATTTACCATGAAACATGCCCCAAAGGACCTATCGAGATGATGAAATAAGTTTGTCAATCAAAAACATCTGTCCCTTTTTCTAGGTGACAGAAGTCTGAGTATCTCTTTTTGTTCCTTACCCTTGAGACTTTTTAGAACCCAGAAATGAAATTTTGCTGTACTAAAACCATCACTCTCAATGCAAAGATGATGGGAGAAACATCCTGTTCTTCCCTCGGTGCTCCTGCCTACATACAGGAGGCACAGTATCCACCTCGACTCCTGAAGCAGGTACTCACAGAGAGTCACAGGGTAATTCAGGATGAAAGGACACCTTCTGCAGTCCCACCACCTCCTGCTCAAAGTAGGGTTAGACATGAGGTGAGATCAAGGTATTCAGGGCTTTATTCAGATGTGCCTAGACAACCTCCAAGGATGGAGACACCACAGCCTCTTTGTCAAGCTGCTCCATTGCTTGGCTGTCCTGTGAAAATGTTTTCTTCATATCCAGGCCAAATCACTCTAGTTTCAGCTTATGCCTGTTGTCTCTCCCTGTCCCTCCACATGCCACTGTGAAGAGCCTGGCTCTGCCTGTGCAGTCACCGCTCTGTAGGTACTGGGGATTGCTGAGAGGTGCCCCCAAAGCCACTGCTGTCTGAGACTGAACTGGACACATCTCTGCAGACTTCTCCTCACAGAACAAGTGCTGCAGCCCCCAACCATCTTGGTGGCACGTGCTGAACTGACTTGCTTCAGTTTGTCATGTCTTTCCTGTAGTGCAGGGACCCAACACTGGATGCAATACCGAGGTGTAAGCTCAAAGTGTGCTGAGCCGAGGGGGATAACCCCTGTCCTCCTCTGGGCTGGCCTCCTGCTCACACAGGGTGCTTGGGCCCTTGTTGATGGCCCCCTGTTCAGCGCAGTGACTGACTGGGCCCTGGGCCATCCCTAAAGAGCTGTTCCCCTATCCCACTAGTCTGGGGTGATTACTGACAGGGCTCTGTGCCCCAGGCAATGGCTGGGCATTTGTCCTGGCTGGACTTCATGAAACTCTGTTGGCCTCTTCCCTCCCCTGTCCAGACTGCTCTGGATGGCTACCCATCAATCAAGTGTATCCATCAGTCCTGCCAGCTTGGTGTCATCTGCAGGTTGGATAAGGATGCGCTCTCTCATCAGACCGGGCCAGGCTCGCTCAGCAGCTCTTACCTACCTGTTTTCACAATGTCTGAGTAACCAGACTTATGAACAGCTCTTTAACAGAGCTCTACAGAGAAGTGAGGCCAGTAACTTGATTTATCCACTGCAATGAGAATATAAGGTGCCTAACCCATTACATGTCTGTCTCTCCCAAGCATGCAAGTGTAAAAGAGGAATAAATCCAGTCAGTTTAACACTGTGTCTACATGAAATGAGCTAAACTTTTGAATACTTTTCATTCTCCCTATCAGTTGTATTTATCAGTTTATGTATTCTACATCTCCTTCTTCAAACCCTGCTCTTTGCAAGCAGAGTCTTTTGTGTGCACAGTTTGTATTGCTGACTGTCAGAGATGGAGACACCAAAGCCTCTGTCTTTACTAGTAATTGAACAGGAAAAGCTACATGCATGAGATACAAACTGTAGTTTGAGAGTTTGGTCCTGCACCATCAGAACCAATTTTATAAGAGATGGCAATGAAGAGACCCAAGAGAAAAACTTACAGATTTTGATCCAACTTTTCCCATCTGCAAACCAGGACTCAGGTGAGGTTTTCTGTAAGACTAGAAGATGTCACTTGAACTGTTTGGAAAGAAGAGATACCAATGGTGTCTGTCCTTTATAGGATGACCCGAAGTAAAATGTAACATTGTTCCTTCTGCTTGTTGTCTTGACTGTGCTCTTTGGGTCTCAATATTATTATGATACAGTGCCTGTGCTGATATCCATGAAGATACTTCCCTTCCTCCTTTATGGTAGCTGAGAAAAACATGAGATTTCAGCAGTAAATATTTACTTTTACAACTGTTCTGTCCCCTTTCCCCCACTCTCACCTCCTGCTGGCCACAAGCTGGGGGCTGAACAAAACTTTGCTGAAGGAGCTGCTGGAACCTGACAAATACTCCAGGTAGCCACGAAACTGGTTTGGTTTTTGTTCGTGTTTGGTTTGGTTTGGTTTCGTTTTGGATCCTGTATAGTTTTACTGTTTTGTGGGTTTTTTCTTCTAATTCTAAAAAAAGTAATGTAAGCAGTTACTACAAAGAGAATGCACTGTGTGAATATAATGTAAAATCAACGTGAAATCACTTGAGCTTCTGACACTTAGCCCACAGCCTAAAATGGGTAAATAAAAACAAAAATTCTTGAAAAATTTTAGTGGTGGGACAACTCCCATGTATTGTTACTGGGATCACAGCTCATTTGAGCTTTTTTCTTCCTGGAGAAGTTGACAAATTAAACAGATAAATAAGGCAAATATACATATTTGTTCTTGGAAGACTGAAATGAGCTGTGCCGCTCTGGCAGCCTGGGCACAACTGTTTTTCCTCAGGACCTGTGAGGTGACATATCCAGCTCTTTAAGGGGAGACATTAATGTTTCTGTGGATGTGCTGGGAACTTGCTCTTTACAAGGTAGCTGTACGAAACATTACTGAAGTGTAAGGCTTCTCCACTCCCCTTTAAATGCTCAGAGCAGGACCTTACAGGAGAGACACCCTTTTTGAATCCAACCATGAAGATCCTCAGAAATTATGCTCCTTATGAAGAATCACAGAAAAATAAAATCCTAAATCAAGAGTACTTGAACATTCTGCACCTTTGAGCTATTATTAGGTTTACAATTGCTCTTTTACTCTCATTTGTTCATTTCAGCTAGAAAGACAGTGCCTTTTATTTGTGCTTGTAGCTCACAGGGCAGATGGGAACCACTCACCAAGGCCTGAAAGATAATTTTGGGGAGACTTTTGGCAAACCTCCATCTACTCCTTCACACTCAATGAGATCCTTGCATAGAAACTGGAACTAACCTGCTGTCTTCCAATTCATCCTTGTGGAACTACACTGTATGGTTTCAGTCTCTCAGAGTACTCACTTGGAGCAGCATTATTTGCTGAAAGCTTGTACTTCAGTACTTCTGTGCTTTGCAGGCTGGCTTTGAGTGATAACTGTCTCTTTGTTATCTTTAAGCAAACACTGGAAACAAGTAAGAGAGAGCAGACATTAGTCTCACTGTTTATTGCATTGCTGGAAAGAAAGTGTGTCCACAGTAACATGACTAGAGCAACTGGTGGTATTGCAGTTCAGGCACAGGGATTAAAGATTACCTGGATACACCCCCTGGTGCTGCAACACAGCTCCAAAATGCAACTCTGAAATCCCACCCCTGATTTAGAGATTCATTAACTTTGACCTTGAACAAGATCATACTTCTGCCAGGTCACAGTTTTCCAGTCTTTTCTGCAGATACTGTGAACCACTGGAGTGATTCCTCATCATTCTGCAAAACCACTTATTTAACAGTGCAGTGGTTTTACCTGAAGTGCTCACCACCCAACTATTATTACAGTACTCAAAACATCAAGCCAGTTTCCTCTTTGAGACATATGTGACACAAACAGCAGGTGAGGGATAAGGAGGGTTATAGGTAAACTGAAGTAGTTATGCAGCATAAACCACAACTTTTCAAGTTCTTCTGAGGGGGTTGAACAGCTGAGAACTGGGAGAGATGGAGCAGCCGTCAGTACAGTAAAAGGATGCTTCCCAGAGCTCTGGGCACAGCCAGACATACAGAGATTGGGGCTCAGCTGAGCCTACTTCTGCAGGAACACAGCAAGGAGGCATTTCAGCCCTTGGGGAGGGAGAGAGCTCTCCCTCATTTGACACAGTCTTCATCATGCAGTCCTTCAACTCCCCTCTAAACCTGGAATGACTCACCTTTGATAAGCTGCATAGCAAGAATTCTGGTCTCAGCTCACAAAAAGATAAAGACATCTGGACTCTGCATCTGGCTAGTCTGTACTGGCAGACAATGCCATTTGAATCTTGCAGGATTAAATTTCCGAAGTACCTTCAGCTATGAATCAGAGACATGGATTTGTAGCTGCCACCCTACTTGTGATGGCATGGTTGCCAGAAAATTTTGGCACCATTTGTCATGCTGTAGAGAACTCTGTACTCTATCATGAGTAACAAACAGACTGTTTATTGTTTCTTCCCATTCTGTCCTTCAGCAGGAAGAACAAGGCAAGGATTCCCTGGCAACATAGCATCTGTGTGCAGGGAAAGATGAAGTAGGACATGGCTGCCTAATGCTTATATAAGGAGAAATATGTGCTGGCCATCTCTGATGAAATTGGAAATGGCATGTTCTCACTCCTCTCTCAGGCTGACTTTGGGAGTAGAAAATGCAGACATTGTCCAGAGCCCTACCCTTTTGGAGAAAACGTGATATTGGAGATATTTTGTACTATTGGAGATCTTTTTAATTAATCACCTTCTGGATTTAGCAACCACTGGCAAAAACATGGGTGTTGATTTAGCTATCACATGATAAATTGAAGGAAGAGAGTCTTTCTGTTTTGGGCTCGCAGGCTTATACACACAGAAAAGCAACTTGGACTATTCAGATGATACCAGAAACTGTAATTTAACGGCATCTAATCAAAACTTTAATAAGACCAAGAATTTTGCCATATCAAGACAGAATTTGGGATTTCAGATGCTGAGTATCTGCAGCTGGTAAGCCTCTGCCGCAGCTGAAAAGATAGAAAAGAGAGGTGAATCCTTCTAAGCCCCCGGGTCTTCTATAGAGGAAGCAATTAACTGCAGTTCTGAAAGCAGCCATGGGGAGGAAAAATACAGAGCAAAGCAGGAGGGTGATGATGGAAAATCAGTTACTGACAACACAGGACAGAAAATGGGAGAGGGACAATGTCAGGAAATGTGTAAAGTAAGCAATGGAATAACTGGCATTCTACTGATGGGAACCAAGAAGTGTCCAGAGTCAGCAGTTTGCATACTTGTTATTTGGTGCATGTTTTTATTACAGTCTGACCTTCCTTTATTCTCTGAGCAAGTCCAGGTAAAATGCAGAGTCTCTCCCACTTTGGCTACGGAAGGATGTGGCAGGATGTGGCTCCCACACTTCTCTCTTCTGATTTTGCCAGACACACCAAGCTAAGACGACCCGAAATGGATTTCTTGGCATATGCTTATGATAACATGGACCACACAAGCACCAAGAGCCCTCCAGTGGGGTCTCTGATTCACAGTCTCCCCCAGCTGGTAACATTAATTCTCTTTCACAGATAAGTCAACATGACCCACCAGTTCCCAGCGCTGACTCCAGAGCAGAAGAAAGCTCTTTCAGACACTGCTCAGCGGATTGTGGCTTCAGGAAAGGGGATCCTAGCTGCAGATGAATCAGTGGGTTAGTTCTGCTTATCAATCAGTTAGCAGCACTCAAGAATTTTTCCTTTTAATTTTGCTGCATGTTTGAAACCAATGGAGTAAACGAAAGACCCTTAAAAACTGAGCAGTTTTCTGAGCAGAAACAGCCAGTCTGGGCTGCAGCTGTGACAAAAAAGCTTACAAACTATGGGTTGGGAAGGGAAACTCTAAATCCAGCTGCAATTTCTTACTACACACTGGGACCAGGAGGAGGCCAGCCAAGCCTGAAACCTCTTGGTCTGGCCATTGTCCACCTTACTAGGTACCATGGGGAACAGACTGCAGAGGATCAATGTGGAGAACACAGAGGAGAACCGCCGAGCTTTTAGAGAGATCCTCTTCTCTTCAGACACTTCCATCAACCAGAGCATTGGGGGAGTTATCCTCTTCCACGAGACTCTCTACCAGAAAGACAGCAGTGGAAAGCCATTCCCAGCACTCATCAAGGAAAAAGGCATTGTGGTGGGAATAAAGGTGAGTATCTGTACTGGCCTGACTGGCAGCATAACCCAAACCACTTTTCCAGAGAAAATTTATATATGGAGCTGCACTCTCTCCTGAAAAACACTTTTGTGTGTGAGTGTGTGTGTGTGTGTGTGTGGTTTAAGATCACTAGATGCTCTCAGCCACCATTCTCTGCCTTGCTTTTGTGCACATTATCACTAAACACAGGAACTTTTTATATACCAGCTCCCATTTACTCACCATTTACTCCAAATCAGTCCCTTCATGCAGTAACCTAAATCCAGTTCTTTCTGCATCTGACAGAGCTCTCAAGCCATTCTCTGCAGCCATCTACACACTGCCCCTTCCTCTGACCCAGGTCACTCCTTTTCTTCCCTTTTGCTCCAGTATTTCCCTCCTTTGCATCCTGAGGATGTTCAGCCCCACACTTTACTCACAGTCAGCCTGCAAAGGCAGACTAGCCATGGGTAAGAAGATAAGGACTTATTCCCATTTCTCTGTAACCCTTCCTCTTTTTCTGATCTCCACAGCTCGATAAAGGCACGGCACCTCTAGCAGGAACAAACGGAGAAACCACCATCCAAGGTAAGGAGAGATCTAAGGAGCCTAAGCTACAACCTGTGCAGCAAAAGCCATGGGATGACTCCCTTGAGGCACAGCCTTGGCTGGTGTCAGAGCACTTGTCAGAGCTCTGAGCTGAAGAACAGCTCTCAGAGGAGCTGTTCCCCCCTGCAGGGCTGGATGGGCTGGCTGAGCGCTGTGCCCAGTATAAGAAGGACGGTGCTGACTTCGCCAAGTGGCGCGCGGTGCTCAAGATCACCAGCACAACACCCTCCCAGCTCGCCATCCAGGAGAATGCCAACACCTTGGCACGCTATGCCAGCATCTGCCAGCAGGTACCTGCCCTCCAGCAATCCTTCCTGAGGTGCTGTTGCCCCTTCTCACTGATCCCTGTGATGACATGCTAGAAAGGAGGATCTCTGTGAGGGTTTGGGGAAAGACAAGGAGGAAAGACAGCACAGGAGGATGAAATACCATCAAACTACAAAAACAGCTTTTCTTCCGTAGCCCTAAAGATTCCCCTGCCTTCCTTTTCTTAGCATGGTTTGGTGCCCATCGTGGAGCCAGAAATCCTGCCTGATGGAGACCATGATCTTCAGCGCTGCCAGTATGTCACAGAAAAGGTAAGACATTCCTCCGCCCTCACCAATCAGCAGCTAAAATTTGTGCAGGTTATGCTCACAGAGCTGAAAGAGATTTATTTGACCAAAAAGGTCACATAAACTGCATAATTCATAACTGCACCACAAATATGAGCTGCTTACAGGCAACTAATGAGTTAATAGCACATGCAAGAGTATAATCTATGCTTTTGGACTTCCACCCAGACTGATGATATAAGCATCCTCAATCTCAGAAAAGATGGATCAGGAGCAAAACCAAGTACTTCAGTTTGCAGGGACAAATCTGGTAAATAAGAAGAGTGGTATCCCAGTCATCTCAAAAGCAGCGGTATCTCCACAACTGCAACCCCTGAGATAAATTACACATGAGAAAGCAGAATCCCATTTGATCTTTTTACATTCCCAAAGAATAAGCTGTCCTGCAGCAGGCTGAGGTAAAGGTTTGAGTAAAAGTCTGCATTCAATTCCCCTGTTTTCCAGGTTCTGGCTGCTGTCTACAAGGCACTGAATGATCACCATGTGTACCTGGAAGGGACTCTGCTGAAACCCAACATGGTGACAGCTGGGCATTCCTGCTCCAAGAAGTATACCCCTCAGGATATTGCTGTGGCAACCGTCACTACCCTCCTCCGTACCGTTCCTGCCGCTGTTCCTGGTGATTCCTGACTCATTCCTATGTCTCCATTCCCCATGTCACTCTTGCTGACCCTGCTTCTACCTCTGGCGTGCAAAGCTCAGGGGTCTGAGGTGACTGGAGTGGTCCGTTTCTAAGCCTCCAAACCTCCTTCTTGCAGGGATCTGCTTCCTGTCTGGAGGCCAGAGCGAAGAGGAGGCTTCTGTCAACCTGAACGCCATGAACCAGTCCCCTCTGCCTAAGCCTTGGAAACTGACCTTTTCCTACGGGAGGGCCCTGCAGGCCTCTGCCCTGGCTGCATGGCTAGGCAAAACCGAGAACAAGAAGGCGGCACAGGAGGCCTTCCGCAAACGGGCACAGGTAGGAGGCTTCCCCTCTGGCACTGGGAGGAGCTGCTCCCCATGAAGGGAGACCTGCTGTCACCTTCCAAAAGGTTCCCTTGATTGCTCCCCTCCTGGTGCTTC